CACCCCCATTCTCCCTTCATTTTGGCTCACCGAAATCTGAGTGCCACTTTTCTGGGAAAGCCTGATATTCTGACTTCAGTTTTGTAATTTAATGATGGAGAGTTTCCTTAGTAAACCAAATTTAGAGTCCTAGAATGCTTATCTTATATCCAGACCTTGAACATAAAAGGCATTTTATACCCGCAATTGTTCATTTAATGAGCAATTGCAGAGTGCAGGCCGGTTAAGGGATTGAGCTATATGCACTATTATTGCAAGAAGTATTCCGAAATACCAGAAATAGGACGTAAGCTCTGATCAGGGAGACTGCGAGCACAATTACCTTCTTTTCAAATCCTTCTGTGACACTGCGGGAGGAAAAAGGACTTTGAAACTTGAAAGGAAAGAGCTTGCTTTCAACCTCAAAAGCTAGGAGGAAAGGGCTCTGAAATTTGCTCAGAATTCCCAATTCACCATTAGCCTGTTTCTTCCTTTAGCCTCAAGGCATTCTCCGCTTTTTGAAAAGATGTTAAGAAATTCAGTCACAATAGAGAGCCTAGTTTTGAACATGTTTCACTCGGTCCATTGAGGTCTGGGCTCCAGCCTTTGTGTGGGGTGAATTGAGCTGAGCGGTTAGCTGGTAGGAGAGAGGTGAATGAGGAGTCTCTGTGCAGTGGCAAATTCTGGCAAAGAAAGAAACTCCCCCCCTCCTTTATTTTACAATATGCATTCCTGTAATACTCGGCTAGTGGCAATATGTGGACTTGAGCCCGTTCTTAAGTCAATACTGAGTACTTGGTTTATAGCAACTCTTGTTAAGTTTGTCTTGTAATTGAAGCTGTTGTTGACCTTGCTTGGGGACCATTTGTAAAACCGTTTATTTAGCATAAACTGAAATAATAAACCCTCCTTCTCTCCGGCTGATTGTGATAGGGTGACATTAGTTTGATTTAATGATTAGCCGCCTGACCCTTCTCCTGGAGAGATCGGCTTGAATAGAGAGAGTTCACTCAGAAGCACTCCGAAAGAATACTAATGAGCTTGTTAAATTTAGCATGGCTCCAACCACTTCTAATTCCTCTAATGGGAGAAGCACTGCCCGGGAGTGGAAGAGGGAGGCAGGGAGACACAGCATGTTCCTTAGAGGGTCTGCACAGTCAGAGCAAGCCCGCCAAGAGAAGTTTGCAGAAAGTAGCTAACCAGAGCCTGGGGCCTGAGTTGTAAGTATTGTCTCTTCTCTTACACTCTTGTCTTCTGCATCTTGGGGAAAGAAAGGAGTAAGGGTGTTAAAATGGGGTTTCAGGGATCAGCTTAAAATCCATGTTAATTTTAAAAAAGGTGAACACTTGTACCGGGAGCTCCTTTTCAATCAGCTAATTTTATTAGGGTGACAGGAGGTGTTCCTAGTTAGTGATGCGGAGTAGGGTTTTATTTTTATGTCGGAAGGATCCTTTGATACTTTTCTCCCGAATCTTAGGCGAATATGCACTTGTTTCCTGGGTCGCAGTGAGAAATCATGAGGAGTCTGTGAGCAATGCAGGGGAGGAGCGTGTGTTCTAGTCCCGCTGCATGCAACAGGATTACTTTCTTCTGAATCTTTCTTGTCAACAGGCTAAGCAGTGTCTGCAATGGAACAACTTTGGAGTTCCCAGAGTCTATGGCCCCGAGTGTCTGGCTCGATGTCAGTAGTTGCCTTTGGATGAGTTTGGAAAATCTGGGACAGTTTCTAAATGTGATGTTTGGGCAGCTCTCCATTTGGGGCAGGAATCTGTTAACTTCCACTTAAGCACTCGTATACAGAAAGAAGGAGGTAAAAAACTGGGATTATGGTGACAGTATTTGAAATAATGTCCCCCCCCCCCCAACTGCATGCTTTGGTGTGACCCATGAGCATGCAACAGTTGAACCCAGAGAAACCAAACAGCCGCCTTGTGTTTGGCTGTGAAAGTCCATTGGCAGATGCTCCTGGAGCAGGGGGTTGTTTGCTTACATTTCTGCAGCCGACTTCTGCTTGTTGCCATGGTGGACAGTATGTTTCTGTCAATAATTTGGCCTGGTGTGGCTGTCTGCACTGACTCTCAAACTTTATTGAACAGCTTGGTTCAACTGAACGAGATTAGACAGCTTTGGTCTTTTGGCTTGCTGAAGTGGTTGCTAAATTTATAAGAGTAGGCAGCAATATTGCTTGGAAGGCTTCCCTTTCACCGTGGAGAGTGTGCTTTTTAAGTCCCGTTGCTGTTTGTATTCCGGAGCGTGTGTACTGTCAAGTTTTCATCTGAAAGCCCGTCAGAAGCAACTCAGCGCACGAGGTGCACTTCATGAAACAGTTGTCTACTGGAATGTTTTGGAGAGAGAGGGCAGGTAAAAATGCGGTAGCCATAATGGTTATTGTAAAAGTAAGTCTAGTGAAAATTTCCACATTAAAAAAACTCTTGCCTGATTATTTTTTAATTTAACTTAAGGGGATTAGTTAATTTTTTTCTGCATTAAATATTTGAACTTTGCTTATTTTTTTTTATAACTTAATATCCACACATGTTGACTGAACTCTCATTAAGAAAATAATTCATTTTTATAAAGTTAACTACTTGTGAAAAAAAAGGATCATTTAGTTAAAAAGACACCTTTATTTTCTCTCCCCCTGCAACTTCCTTCTCCCAAGGGGCTGGGGGGAGGTGGGAGGACTCTAAACAGACCATGCCACATTTTCAGTTACTCATGAAGTTGGATTCAAGTCCTCGTCATAAAGGCATGGTTTCTAAAAGGAACTCCCTCAATTTAGCGGTACAGTTTTAAGAGGAGAAGAGTTCATTTCTTCTAGGAAGAGTAAGTCCAGGGAATCCTGTTTTAAATCTGGAAGAGATTAGTAGGGCTTGGTTATTCATCTTGCCCAGAGAATGCTAATTAGGAGTCTCAGCCCCTGTTGGTAAGGGCTTTCTAGCTTTCCAAATGAAGGTCCATTCTATAAACGTCTGCACCTCAGAGTCACAAGTTCAGGTTGAAATTTGAAATAAAGGTTTTATGCAGGCAGAAATTAGTGGAAAATATGACTCAAGCCATTTGTAAGTTATAGAAAATTTCATAAAACTGACGGAGAGTTTTAGTGTTTTTGACACCCTTTTGCTTTTACATGACTGTGAGCCCTTATTCTATAGTTTGCAATTTTACTGCTAACCAAGTACAAGGGTGGATAGTACTAATCAGAAGGAAAAGAAAAATGTAGGATTTTTTTTGTAGTTTGTTTTTAAGTAAGCAAAAGCATGGTTTGAATTGCCTTTGTAAAGATCAATGTGTGAGAATGTGGTATTACATCTATTTTTTAGTAGTTATTTGATAGATTAAACTCTTTATTTATCCCCTAATTACAAGGTTCGGGGTGAGGATCTGCACACAATCATGTTTCACAGTTACCCTGTCGTAGTCAGCAAATTCACTGACAACTAAAGTGTACCTCATGGTTTTTATACTGTTTTGCAAGTTATTTGCTATACTGAAAATAATGCATAGCTTATTTCTTAAAGTCCTGGGCATAGGCAGAAAGAGTTCTGGCTTGAGGTAGTTTAAGTCCTTACTCAACACAAAACAGTGGTGCTTACTTTAGATTGTATTCTCGTGCTTGTCTGTGTTGATAGCTAGCTGTATTTTCTTCCGAATTTGTATGAACAACAGACTGTTAAAGCACACTATTGCTGGTTTTAGGGCTTCTCACCTAGACATATTTGCTTTATGAAATACTTGGAAGATAAGTTCAAAACCTGTCCATGTAAAATTTATTATTATTTATATCAACTATAGCAACTATAGTTTCTTTTTGTTGTTGTTTTTCAAATAGAGTTTCTTATCTTTTTTTTTTTTCTTTTTCCTTTTTTTTTTCTTTTCATTTTGGGAGTTTTCAGATTAGGCGCCTTAGCAGCGCCTGAACAGCTTTGCTTCCACTGTTGGTTAAATGCAGAGCTTGTTTGGCGTGTGCCATTTCAGAGGATGTGTATGGTTCTAGCAGATGAATCGGTTCACTTGTTGTGGGTTCAGATTGCCAGTTTGGTCTCGTTTTATGCCTTGTTTCTTTGATCTGCTATTATGGAAAGGTCATCCAATCACATTTGTAGAGAACCCTACTGGATAGATGGAAAGTTCTTACAGATCAAAGGAAACCAGAAGTATTAGGGAGCTGGGAATCTCATCGGTCTGTTGTGTTTTTTTTTTGTTTTTTTTTTCATGTTTAAAGCAATGTCTGGACTCCACCAGAGTATGTACATATCAGCGGAATGGGTGCCTCCCTCGTCCCTCAAGCCATCTCACACTTGAACTTTCACCTTCATTCCCTTTTCCTTCTAGTTATCAGCTCTGTTCTATGGTTAGATGTGCCATACAAGGGGCCATGGGGGTTTCCAGGATCGGCACCTTTATCCTTTGGAACAGTGGGTTTTCTGCACCATTTCTGGCTCTATTAAATCTCTCATTGGGTTACAAATCTGACTTAAAAAATGAAAACATGAGGATGTCTGGATCCCTTTCTAACAGGTCATCCTCTGAGGTACAGAGGCTCTTTGACCCAGGATTACCCAGAGCCTCCGTGGGCATCCAAGCCCCTGTTACCCCAGAGGCCTGGCTTCCAGACAGGTGAGGGGAAGCTGTTCACCAAGCATGTCAAACTCGCGGCCAGCCCGCAGCCCTAGGCTGGCAAAATGTCCAGCTCCGGTGGGACTCGCAGGGGCATTGGCAAGTCTCCAAGGAAGAGCTTCCCTGGCAGACTCCGCGGTGAGCCTGTGATGATAATTTGCTTGCTCTCCCCACATCTCCATTTAATTGGCTCCTTTCTGGCTCCCCTTCATCCCTCCATTTGTGTTTTGGACCCTCATTCACAAGCAGTTTTGTCTGAAGACCATCCCATCGTGGTGCAGCTTTTCAAAGTTGCCAGGATGAGAAATGGGCTTCTTTTCTGGAGGGAGACCTAAGGGATGACTGTGTTTGAATTGCTCCTTAACATGGTCACAGAGCTTTTGTGTTCCTTCTTTCTGCAGAGGATGAAAGTCCTGGACAGACCTATCACAGAGAGAGAAGAAACGCAGTCACCATGCAGCCGCAGAGCGTCCAGGGCCTTGGCAAGATCAGCGAGGAGCCTGCTACCTCCAGCGACGAGAGGGGCTCGCTGATCAAGAAGGAGATCCATGGGTCCCTGCCCCACCTGGCTGAGCCCTCCATCCCGTACCGCGGGGCCGTGTTCGCCATGGACCCCAGGAACGGTTACATGGAACCTCACTACCGTAAGTGGGTCCTGCCTCACGGCCTGTGGTCCAGAGCCAGGGGCAGCTCTGTGGCTCTGTGTGTGTGTGTGTGTGTGTGTGTGTGTGTGTGTGTGTTTGTGTGTGCACGCGCGTGCGCATACGCGCATGCACATGCGCTTTATGAATTATTTGGCTTACCATTGATTTATACAGATGTTTCATTAGCTGCCCACTTGTCTTCTCCCATATCCTTTCCATTCTTTTTTAGGGAGAGTCATTTCCTTATATCCCCGAGTAACTTCAGGCGTCCGTGGGGTGGTCTTCTGGAGGGTGTCCATCTGTGGCTCACTCACAGGGACCTTTCTTGGGGACTGGCACCCAACTTTCTTTCCCCAGAGTCTCCTAGACTTTGCAGGAGGAAAATTGGTTGCTGTGGGAGTTATTAAAGTGCGCTGATTAGCCGAAATCTTCAACAGCAGCAGTTCTTGGTTTCAGTGAATTTTTGCTTAATTGTTAAGGAGGAACCAACCTCTTTCAACAAATCAGAAAACCAACCTCTTTCAACAAAGCAGATTTCCTTAACATAGAAGATTTTTGTACATGCTCTACTTTCTTCCCTGGCCGGTCCACCAGAAACACCGGCAGTTCCCTTTTTCAGCACCAATCAAGTGGACTCTGAACACAGATACACCATGGTTTTCTCCAAAGGCAGACACTGGGAAGGAAAAGACTGTGCTGAGTTTATTTCCGGCCTGTTTCTCGTTAAGAAATATAATTTGGTCGTGGAGTAATGAAGTTAGTATGGAGGTGCCAAAGCTTGCAGCTCCTGATTACAGATTTATCACCTTGCCAGGATGCGGGCTTGCCATTTAACCTTCCCGGCTCCAATTCCAGATGATCCATTGAGCTCCCGAGTGAGGGACTGGTTCTTGTTTCCCCTTTTCCACATCATTCAGAAATTTTAGTGTTTTAAGGCAAAAGGTCATTAGCCAGATGACTGATTATTGAGGACAGCTGATTAGTGCACATTTTCCTGCTCAAGAAAGTGCCCAGGATAAAAGCTAATTCCATCCCTTCATTAGTTGACTTGCAGCGGAGGGGGACGGTCCCTCATCAGGGTGCAGATCAAAGGGCCTTGCACAACCTGAAGTTTCAGCAACTGCCCTCCCCCAATATTGTTGGTAAAGATGGGAGATACATTTTTTCCCCCCCCAGTGGAGAGAGGATTTTTAAAAAAGTGGTCAGAAGTGTGGGAGAAAAGGTTTTATGGATTCTTAGAAAGTTTACAACTTCTCAGTTTAAGAAGTGCCTGCCAAGCCTATTGCTGCGGTTTTTATGTTCACAGCTTCGGAGTCAGGAGGGGTGGTGTGCGTGATCCTGTCATTCTTTCATTCAAGGGTTATTTCGTTTCATTTTATTTTAGAAATAACAGTTTGAAATGGTATTGGTAGGGTTTTTATCTGAGCACATTCCTGTTTTATACATTTGTGTGTGTGTGTGTGTTTTAGGGCTTTCTATTAGAGATCATCCATGCGGAAAATGTGAGGGACTCTACAAACTTTCTGCTTTCCGCCTCGATAGTGCACTAGATTGTTATGGATAAGTCTGGATTGTTAGCCATAAGCTCCTTGTATTGTTTTCATCATCATGTGTGAACAAAACTTTCCCCATCTGATGCTTTGTTTTCTGATCCAGATGCCCTCTAATGAGTGTGGTATTAATTGGTCAGGGCAGCTGAGAGAACTGCTTTTTTGGTTGACAGAAGTAGGCAGATGACCGTTAACTTTCTCTGTGCCATTCACCTTGCAGCTTGCTCTTGATACATTTGTTCTAACAGTTTGCCCATTGAATCTTCTCCCCGTCATTTGAGGGTCCAGGAACTCTGCAGACCAGGGAATCTCCTCACCTCTCAGGGGTCTGTGTGTGCACCCCACCTCCCAAGCCCCCAGGGTAATATTAACTAGCATTGGGCACAGGGCAGCTTGTAGTGGGCTTGGGACCACTTATTGTCCCTCTGTTTAGATGACATAGCATCAATAGGTTGGTTATTCTTTAGCTTTTCCCATAGTATTGTTCAAATTGCTATTAAAATTACATGATAACTTACAAGCACTTGCTATTTTGACCCACCACTGCAATGTACTCTTTAAATTGGTCATAAATTACTGGTATCATTGCATCAATAATATGGACAGGGAGTCCTAGAGATTACACAGATTGGCTGAGCACTCAGGGGATTTGAGTTTAAGTTCCAGCTTTGCCATTATTGGCTGTGTGACCATGGCCAAGTGTGCTGACCTCTCTAGGAATCATTTCCTAATTGTTGATATGTGACTGCCTGCCCCATGGTATTCTCTTGAGAATTACGTGAGCCAGTGCAAATAAAGTATTTAATAAAACCACTGGCTCATGGTGCCTCAAAAGTATTATGGTAGTTGTCCTGTGTTGGCTCTTCCTCCTCCTCCTCCTCCTTTTTCTCCTCCTCCTCCTTCACCTCTATCTTCTCCACCTATTCCTATTTCCTCCTTCTTCATTTTGTTCCATCATCATCATCTTCATCTGTGCATGATGAGTTCATTCTCCAAACCAAGTTATTTTTGTCTGTGTTGCAGTTGTGTTTGGTTCAGGGTAGACTGGCTTTTCCCTACCAGACCTGTTCACCTGCCTCCCTGAGGTCAGTGTCTCCTGTGAACACAGGTTAGAGATGGAGTGGTTGGTTTATAAATTTAGGAAAAGGGATGACATGGCCTGAAACTGTGCTCTGTGGCCTTCTGAACATAACCATTCCTCATGCAACTTGAGTAGATTGATTAAAATTTCCCCTCTATTTTTTAAGTAAAGAAGTTTTAAAGCTTTTATAAATGCATTTGCGAAGTTTTAATGTGTTAAACTATCAACAGAAAGTGTTTTATGTAACAAACTTAATACATGTGGAAAATGAAAGGAACAATATTATTTATTTATAGTAAACAATTTAAAGATGTCCTAAACTAAGTCTCAAAGAGTGAGGTAAGATATGACTTTACCTTTTCTAGACCCTTGTTGGCTTATTTAATCTTCTACTATTATAAAGAGTACCTTTTAGGTACTTTTTAATAAAGGCTGTTAGATTTTATCTAGACTGAATTATCTAAGTAAAGCTAATAACTAATATGATGCTGCTGAGATTGATACATCACATCTTCTAAGAAACTTTTAGTGTATGAGAAAAGTACCACCTTTTAAAAATGAGATGTAAGCCCTGGCCAGGTGGCTCAGTTGGTCGGAGTGTCATCTTGTACACCAAAAGGTTGCAGGTTCAATTCCCCCTCAGGGCACATACCTAGGTTGCGGGTTTGATTCCTGGTTGGGGTGCATACCGGAGGCAAGCAATTGATGTTTCTCTCTCCCCTTTCTCTCTCTCCCTCCCTCTCTAAAAATCAATGAGAACTTATCCTGGGATGAGGATTAAAAAAATAACAGATAAATTAAATAACAGGAGACATCGAAATTTGATCACGTTTCTTTACCTTGCCTCAGCCCCGCAGCACTGTCCGTAACACAAGTTCATTGCAGACCTTCAGCAGCTCCAGGTTCAAAACACCTTTTTGGCCATTCCCTTTTCCTTTGAGTCCTGAGCCAGCTCCACCAGTGCTGTGGGAGAGAAAAGACTTCTCATACAGTGTCGCTGGGTATCTGACCATTCACAGAAATTCCTTCATTTCTCTGTGGTTGGAAAATGCAAACTTTCCAAGATGCCTAATTTGTGCTTCTATATATACACTAACTTTGTATTTCTAATGTGTGGGCAGGATTCCTGTAAGGCCGGAAAAAGGAACATCATTTTTTTTTCCCCTCAGAAGGACATCTGTAAAATTTTTATTGCACAGGACTTTATTATACTTGGGCATGCAAAGTTGCATCTTCACAAATTGCACTTAGGTAAGATTCAAAGTATTTTAGGTTTTGTGGGTTTGACTTTAAAAAAGGAAAAGAAAACCCAGGGATAGTGGGTACTTCAAACATTTGCAACATGTGTTTGGAATAAAATCCTCGTGGGGGCATTGGGGGTTATTCTCTCATGAAGGGAGCTGCGGATGGGCTGTATATCAAGGCCAGAAAGTAGACGTTCAGGCTGCGGGGCTCAGACATGGTGTGGTGCTGACAGGCTCACGGCTGCAGGATCACTGGCGCTTGATAATTGGGGAGAGCGTAGGGGGTGGGGGGTGGGAAAGAGGCTGGATTTGTGGGACCTGAGCTGCTTGTATTGGAGTCAGGATAAGGAACCCCATCTCCTTCCCAGGGATTTCCCGGCAGTTTTCTTCTGCTTCTGTTCCATCTGCAGCTAGATATTTCACATCACCATCGTCCTCTGCTTTCACTTACTGCCATGCATTTATTCTATAAACTTGTGAGGCAGGTGACATAATAGTTAAGGCATTCCCTTACCCTGGGTGACACTGAAGTTTTATACTCCTCCCTGTTACAGGAAACATGTGTTCCACTGTCTTCTGTCTTAGCCTAACTGCGAAGAGTAGAGTTTTCTAAAAGTCCCTGCAGGGGTCTTGGTGGGGAGATTCTTGGATTCACGAGTCATGTCCTCTAGGATCCCTGCTGGTTTTGTTCATGGAGGGGAAGAAAGATGCCCCCTTTCCTAAAATTTCAAGTCTCTCTTTCAGTTTTATAGTTGTGTGAAGGCTGCTTTTTTACTTCTGCCCCCAACTGCTCCCAAGCAGTCATTCCTCCTGGAAAATATGATTCATCCTTCCATGCCAGTGCCGTGATTGAAAACATTCCACTGGTATTCTTGCTTATGCCTCCCAGCTCAGATGACAAAATTTATTAGTGGCTAATTAGCAACACTGGAGGAAGTGGCTAAAAGAAAAGAAACTGGATTTTTAATTGCTTGCATTTATTTTCTGTGGAAAGCTGATGTCCTGAGCCCACTTGTATCCTTACGTGCTTAAGGAAAGTTCATATGAGAACTGTACCCCTACCTATCTGTCTTTATACTAGGTGACTTCCTACACTTCTTAGAAATACATCTTCTAAGTGAGTGG